AGTGTGAGAGTGTGAGTGAGTGTGAGTGTAAGTGTAAGTAAGTGAGTGAGTGAGTGAGTGTGTGAAAGTGTGTGTGTAGGTAGAGGTTTAGTGTTCACTGCTCTCCTTTGCTCTGGTTTAGTGGGTTCTCAGGTGGTGGTTTTCCTGTAGTTCTGGGCTCTAGACGGAGTGAGTGTATGTTTCAGCAGGTTTATCTCTTTCTCTTTCTCTTTCTCTTTTTCTTTCTGTAGAGTAATCGTCCAGAGAGAGAGTGGCCCGTCAAGTGTCTAAAAGTCTATCACGGCATTAAAAAGAAGCTCCGTCCACCAACATGGTGAGAATAAATCTGAATTACGAATTGAATCTGAAAACTCTACTGAACCCTAATGAGCTTTCTAACTAGACAGCATGTCAGAGGTGCTCATGACATCAAGATCATGTAGGGTGTTTAATATTTTGGAAAGCTCTGCAAATAAAATCTTGACATGGTGAATGCAACATGCAGGTGTGCTGTGATTTCTGACCAGCAGGTGTCAGTGTGAGCCAAGACAAAAGTATAATATTTTTTGAAAGGAAGTTTTTTTGAGTATCATATTTGCTCCATCAGGCTTTTATGGCTCATATAGTCTGATACAGTGAGAATATGGAGGAAAAACAGCTCAATTTTATTCAGAGACTCAAACTGAGCAAAAATATGAATTTGCTGCAGATGCTGATATTTCTATGATGAAAATCTGATGCTTGTGATGTAAATCAATGAGATGTTTATAACAGTAGATTCTGCAGATACTGACATAAAATGATATAAATATGAGTCGTCTCTATATCTCCAGTAATATGTCTGAGTAAAATGAGATTGAAATGATCCAAACATATAATGCAGTGATTGAGAGCTGAAGAAATAAAGGCTCCTCAGAAGATGTGAGATGTTCTGGAGGCTTGTGAAGATCATTCCTAAAGGATAAACAGCAGGCTTTATAGGGTTAAAGGAGCAAATGTGCTTTTAAAAGCTCTTACATGAATCGTCTAAATTCTTCTATTTGAGCTGTGAAATGTTTAAATCATATTGTGATGAGCTGCTTGATAAGAGACGTCAGTCTAGAGAATGATCAGGTCAGATTCATTTACAGCATCTCAGAGCCAATCAGACCAAAAAATCCCTTCTCAATAATCTCTGGCTCTTTATATCATCGATTTACAGCTGCATTTGAGTTTCACAATTAAAGATTGAGTGCTGTTTAACCCTTTAATCTCTGTCTGTCTGTAGTTGGGGTCTCACAGTCATCTATGAAAGTGAGAAACAGGAAAAGCAGGAGAGACAGCAGTGGTGAGAACACACACACACACACACACACACAGACACACACACACATTTACTTAGCTAAATGGTGAAATAAAATAGTTCTATATAAATATATATAATTGTAAAAAAAAAAGAGTCCATCACACACACACACACACACACACACACACACACACACACACACACATTTACTCACACACACACACACACACACATACACACACACTTACTCACACACACACACACACACATGCACACACACACACTCGCACACAC